GGGAGGGTTTAGGAGGGTTTAGTAGAGTTTACTGGGGTTTATTGTGGGGTTTTAGGGTTTATTAGGGTTTAGTAGGGTTTAGTAGGGTTTATTAGTGTTTATTAGGGTTTAGTAGGGTTTAGGAGGGTTTAGGAGGGTTTAGGAGGGTTTATTAGGGTTTAGGAGGGTTTAGTAGGGTTTATTAGGGTTTATTAGGGTTTAGGGCTTGGGGTTACCGTAAACCCTAATAAACCCTAATAAACCCTAAATAATAATTTATAAATTAAATAAAGAATCAATAAATATATAATAAATAATAGACGATAAACAATAAACCACAAGGAAGAAACCCTAAACCCTAAACCCTAAACCCTCCGAGGGCAAAGCAAGAGAGACAGATGCATGCAGCCAAACCCTAAACCCTAAACCCTAAACCCTAAACCCTAAACCCTAGGAGGAGACACCAAGGGAGATATAACGAGAGAAAGATAGACAGCAAAAAAAAGGAGACAGAGAGAAAGAAAAAAACAATAGATAAACTAAAAGAAACAAAAAAAACAAAAAAAATAAAAATAAAAATAAAAATAAAAATTAATAATAAACACAATAAACAAAACAAACAAAGACAGAAGGAAACAAAAAAGAAACAAGAAGAGACAGAAAGAGACAAAAGGAGACAAAAGGAGACAAAAGGAGACAAAAGGAGAGAGAAAGAAACACAAAGAGAAAAAGATAAACAGAGACAAAAAGAAAAAAACAAAAGAAAGAGAGAAACAGAGAGAGGGAGGAGACAGAAAAGGAGACAGAAAAAGAGACAAAAGCAGACAGAAGACGAGACAGAAAGAGACAAAAGAAACAACAAAAGGAGACAGAAAAGGGACAAAAAGAAAGAAAAAAAGAAACAAAAGGAGACAAAAGGAGACACCAAAAAAAGCAAAAAAGAGACAGAAGAAAATAAAAGAAGAGACAGATGGAGAAAGGAGACAAAAAGGAGACAAAAAGGAGACAAAAAGGAGACAAAAAGAGACAAAAGGAGACACCAAAATAAAGATAAAAAGAGACAGAAGAAGACAGAAAAGGAGAAAGATGAAGAAAGGAGACAAAAAGGAGACAAAAAGAGACAAAAAGGAGACAAAAAGGAGACAAAAAGAGACAAAAAGGAGACAAAAAAGAGACAAAAAGGAGACAAAAAAAGACACCCAGAGACAGCAAAAAAGAGCCGCAAGAACACAAAAAAGGAGACAAAAAAGGAGACAGAAGAGTAAATAGAAATAAACAAAATAAATAAATAAATAAATAAATAAATATACCTTCTCTTAGTCTTTTTAATTCACAGTAATCGGGCCTAAAGTCCTTGCCCCAT